GCGAGAACATGCAACGCATCAACCAATCATTTAAACACTGAAATCAAATGTTTCCAAAGTTAAAATTAATCTCAGTTCACCAAATTAGTATTATGTTCTTAAAAAGCGATCATGAGGCATTGCACGATGCTTCTAGTGCCTGATACCTTACAAATTCCAGTTGATTAAGTGCTGAACAAATCCGTTCCCACAAGTTGTAACTGCCCGAGAGCGGCAAGAACAAAGCAATAATAAATGAGCGGAATGATTCAAGAAGAAAAAGCGGAGAAATATTCATCATTTCTCTCCAAAAAGTAAAGAAGGTAAGCAAAAAAAAAAAAAATCCTAGACTGATCACCGGGCGTTACAAATCGGCAGCTGACCAAAGCAGCAACAGAAATGAATAGCTTCACTGACAGTAAATTAGTTACAGCGTCATTTGCAAATAATAATTAAAAAAACTGACAAATTTTTGTTTTGAGCCGACTTCGGAACAACGCTTCAAGTATTGAAAGATACAACGTTCTCGCTCTGGCTCACTAACTGTCAACAATCGTCCATATTCGGACCAAATGAATCTGCAAATTCGTCAACCAATAATGACGGCCAATAATGAAACATTGCATTTTTTGCCTTTTTTCCTTTTTTTTTTAATTTCTCAACAGTGAAGTATGAATGTGTTATTGCCTTTTAATATCAAGCCAAAACGGTCGAAATTCCCTCCACAAAAAACGGGGATATTTGAAAGCAGCTGCATTTTTCAGCGTTGTAAAAAGCTCACTGCAGAAGAAATGAATAATTTCCAACTTACCTTCCTTTTAACCATTCTGTGGTGGAGAAACCATCCGACGGCACCACAAGTTTATCAAAATCAGGCTCCGTTTCATCCAGCGTTTCCAAATTTTCCAGAATTACACGCAACGAGCTTTCATCCACTTTCACATCCTGAAGCTCCTAAAAAAACAGGCCAAACGTGATACATGCAATGTAAGATAAAACTCACTTATTAAATCAAAATCATTAATCCCTTTATATTGTTTCACTAGCAGAACTTCAAAATCATCGTTTATCAAAACTATTAATCTCTTGTTTAATCAAAAAAAAAAAGATTTTTGATCAGAATCGGTGCAGCTATACCAAGTCCTTTACAAATGATGTCAGGTTTATTGGCCGTCTATGCTGCTCACATAGGCTACATTTCGCATTCCCAGATTTTACATGATTAGCCATTTGTTTTTGGCTACAACAACGATCTTCTGCAAACCTGCTCTGGATCTGCATGTTCCTCTTCCTCGTCTTCATCGGCAACTTCAGGCACGGCCACCAGCTCCGGTTGCTGATGATCCGACGACGCTGGACGCTCAGCTAAAAAGCATTGATCTCATATTTCAAGGTCCAACGCCACTTTATTTAACCCTAATTCGGCATTACCCTCTGGCACACAGCTTATGATAGCGCTTGTTAACGAAGCGTAGCAGCAGGAACGTCTATTGGTGATGATCTAAGGAGCTGCAGAAGCAAGATAGCGATACACCGAGCACCGTTTTTTCTGGAAAAACAAAAGAGAAATCAGGACTAAAGCTGTCCACGGCTGATGAGATTTCGCAACAGCAACTGTAGAAAAACAGGAGTCACGCTGATCGATTTTTCATCAGGAATTATGTAAACACAGCACAAACCAAGGGCTTCCTTGAAACTTCACGGGAAAAAGTAGGAAAGATTGAATAAAACCATGTGATACAAATGCATTCGAAAAAGAAAAAATTTGAAAAAGTGTATGAAATCATCACCTGCGACAACTTCAGCGCCTGATTTTCTCTTGCTCGTTGATGGATGTGTTGCTGCTGGCTTCTCCGTTTCATCCTTTTTAGAAGGCGACGACTCACGTGCGCAAATTTTGCACAGCAAAGATAACAAGTGCAAATCCACTTCCGTGTCACCATTTTTAACGGCAGTCATGCGAGCCAAACAGCGCAGCTTTTCTTCCCAGTGCCTGAAAACTGATCAGCGTACCAGGAAGCTTAGAAATTCGAGAAAATTAAAATTAAGAAATTCAAAAGTCATGAATTTGCGCCTGATGCACTTTCTGTCTACCGTCTGCCGTATCTATATGAAGTTTGCGTGGAATTCTGAGCTCAGAACAAAGCAGAGTGTTGTTAGCTGAACCGATATCGGGGAAAGCTCTGAGAAGAAAATAAGAAAAGAAAGGAGTGATCAAACATGCAGCCCATGTTCCATTATTTCTACGCTAAAAACCGTTCCCTAATCGAAAAAACAGCTCATCGTGGTTTACACGTGGACGAAATGGTATATCTTAAATGGACCAAAGACTTCTAAAAACAGCACGCGCTTCGCTAGCTGCTTCCTTGGAAGAACTACTGAGCTACAATCCTTTCAGAAGGCGAAATGAGCTACAATCCAGGGTGACTATCAGGCGATGCAACACTGAGCAAAACAACAGTAGAGGCAGAAAAATCGACCTCCGCACAGATGGAGACTGAAATAACATCGGTTCCAGCTATTCCAGGCATTTTGAAAATCGTGGAAGCATTCAAAACAACGAAATTTACGAACAACAAAAAAATGCCGGCCGATTTCCCCTGCAGACTTTTCCGAAGCACAAATTACCAGTCAAAACGATGAAATCAAAACTTTTAAACAAAAATTTTCCAAAAAAAATTACTTCAAATTATTTTCGCCGACGAATTTAGTTAATAGGTAGCACGGAAGCATGCCATTTTCAACCAATGCGCACATTTTCTTTGTTGCTTTATCACTGCATTCAGCGATAGTCCAGATCAATGTATGTATGGCTTTAGCAATGGCATCACCAAGTGCACAGCCCGTTACCTGTAAGCAGAAGTACCAACAGATTATAACAAAAAAAAAAAATAGTGGAATTTTTTAGAAATTCCAAAAAAACAGGACAGGGTCCTCTGGCTAAATTCATCTGAGTTTGCCTCAATCCGTGTCTAAAACCCTATTCGATGGAGCCACTCGAGTATCCTCTTCGATTGTGCATCATTTGCCTATAACTAAATTAACTACGTCATCGTTCTGCACAAAGATGCTTTTTTTTCACGAATTTTTTGTTACCCATAGGTTTCATTAGCAAAATAAAATTATGATAAATATATTCTTCCAGTTAGATTTTTATTTCATTGAATTTTAACTGCATTAAATATAAGTTGAATACAATCACAGGAGCCATGATTTGCACAAAAAATTAAACGAATCCCGTGTAGATCACAGGAGCCATGATTTGCACAAAAAATTAAACGAATCTCATCATCGACCTGGTTACGGCGCTGGTTTCATAAATCCGGTTGACTTTGGCCTTATTACTGGACGATTTTATCACAGCTCGGCTAATACCGAATCTACATATTTGTCATGCATCAAGTGAAGGCCTGCATGTTG